TCATACCGCACTTTACCTAATGAATAGAAATTACAGTGGAAATTCTACAATCACATGATGAGAGCCTAAGAAAATGATTTCAAGGAGACTATCTCCTTAAAAGATGGCAGGTAGCACTATGCCGCTGAGACTAGATGGCTGTCTGCAGTTCCCCGCACCTGCCTTTCACCTTCTTTCCAACAAAACTTTCCAGCAGGTTCTCCCATTCTCACCAGAGTTCCCTCTCTCTGCTCACCACTGTACTTTAAAACATTTTGAGAGCTTTAGTTGTTGCTGCTACAGCTACTGACAGGTCTCGAAATTAAAAGGTCAAGTTTTAGGGGGCAGGTGGTGGAGAATGATCAACGTAAATGATGTTTTCCCGTCAGTTTTGCACACGCCGCATTTTTTTAAGTGGAATATAAAGTTAGCAGGGTGCACGTGTTAACACTTCAGTCCTAGCAAATACATCGGCAGGTGAAACACTTCTCAAAGCAACTCATGAAAATTCACCTTTTTAAAAAGATAAAACTGGGCGTTTGCTTATAAGGGCCGTGGAGTATCTGACATGTTTTTTGGTTGTTTCTTTTTATTTACTTATTTATTTTTTTACCAAAGCTACCTGCGAGCAAAAGCCAGCATCGTAGAAAGGGATAAGTGGAGCTGTCTCTGTGTCGTGACGTGGAAAGATCTTTCTGCATGGTAAGGAGTGGCAGAATCCGACCACGCGATATCACTTACGTGACGGGAAGACGCGCTAAAAGCATGTATGTGCAGACATGTTTATGTAAGCAAATGCATCCCCAAATATCGAAGTGGCTAACTTTAGGGCGCTAGCTGGGTCTAGAGGACGAAGGGCCCCTGGCTCATTTTATTTGGATGTTCCATGTCATTTACATCTCCACAATGGAACACAGTCACTTCTCGTTGAGAAATTAAGTACATTCACTGTCTGGGTAGAGGGACAAAATTGTCCTGTAAAATCACTTCATTCTCGAATTTACCCCTTGAGAAACTTCTTAACAGGATTATAGTTTTTTTGCTTTTTTTTTTTTTTTTTTAAAGAGAACATTGCCAGTAAATGAGTAAGAAGTGAACAGGCTGGAGCCAGCAGTGGTCTACATTACTGACCTACCCTTTAAGTCGACTTGGAATTGTCTCAAGCAACTGTCCCGGATTCTCTTCACCGCCACTCAGGTGGGGCTCGGGCAAGCACCAGAGGCCCAGCCGTGGGACCGCCCCCTCCGCTCCCTGGAGGAGCAAAACGACGCTGAATACACGGTTGGGTTGTCTTTGGCTTTTAACCACACTTGCTCTGTTCTTTGCAGAAGCAAACGTTTTCATTCCTCTTAACGGTCTGTGTGACGAATCTGTGCTGAAGTGTCCCGATTTCTCCAGACAGCAAGCACGACCCATTGCATTAAAGCCAAGGATAAAACCGGGTTGGCATTTGCGAACACCTGAGTTCTAGGGAGCCAGTTTCCAGCCTCGCGGGGGCTGCAGGCAGGCCAACGGGTATCTCTGGCTAGGACCTGAACAGGAAGGAAAAAATAGCATCTTGAGGGTCTCCCTCTCCTTTCCTGGCATTAAAGAGGACGAAAACCCACATAAATGCCATCCAAGTACAAAACCTCTCATTGTTCAAATAGGGCTGTCTTGAGAATTACGAGATAAATTAAGAAAAAGCAGCCATTCACGTTCTACATAAAGGCTCATACCAGAGGTTTTGAAGATAAATTAAAACACAAAGCTTTTATTGACAGTGCAGGTTATGGATAATAAACCCAGTGGTAAGTGCTGGGGACAGGTGTGCATAGAAATGCAATTTATAAAAATCTTCCAAAGCAAACAATTGCTATGTTTGAAGAAATCGTCGTTAGCTAAAAAAAAAAAAAAATCCAGGTGTGCCATTCATTCACAGTATTGATAACTGGTGCCCAGTAATAGGACCTTGGGAAATGTCGAGATTTCGTAAATCATTTGAATCAAATCTCTTTGTCTGGTAAATTCCTCAGTGCCTCTGCAGCGGTAACTAGACAAGATTGGAAAGCTTTTCGAGATGATTCAAACCTCCAGCACCTCACAGGAGTCCGTGTTTCTTAACACAGAAGGCAAGGCTGATCAAAGGAGGAAATAAAAAGGTTATTAAGAATAAGCACTGGTTTTCCAAACTTCTAAACATACGTATCTATGTGTATAGTTCGCTAAAAAACGTTGATCTCAATAGTCTTCCCATCTTATTTCCAGAAACTACGCTGGCTGCCGCCCAGCTTTTCACCTTTCATACGGGGTGAGAAGGCAGTGCCCTCATGGAAACAATGGGAAAGCTCTGATACCTGGAACAAGCCTTTGGGTTATTTTAGGATGACAGGACTTTCAAAAAAATAACTCCTGAAAATTTCCATACATACAGCAATCAGAGAGAGGGGATCCTAAACTTTGGAGATTAAGTTGAGAGGACGAAGGAACATGATAAATCGTAACCAGAGGTAATAATGACACGATTTAGGGAACAGCTACGCATTGCACAGAACCCAAGTCGAAAGACGAAGATATAACCTCACTCCCAAGAGGTATGGCGGACTAATCCTTAGAGACAAGGACAAAATAACCTTCACCAAGTTACCGACCTTAGAGAAGACTCCCCCAGACCTCCCCTCCCACCTCACCCCACTGTTCGGGTAACCATCGGTTGGTTTTAATTCACCATCTCTCGTTACTTCAGCATCTTTAAGATAAAGCGACACTTCTAACGAATTCATCCAGACTGTCTCCTTGGGGGAGACCTCCCCTGTAATCGCGTAGAAGCTGCTGCAGTAACAAGTGGCCAAGGTCCTATGAAACCTCAAGGACTTAAGTTAAAATGCCAAAATGAGGACGATGAGCAAATGCTGACAAACGCTTTCGCACGAGAGCCGCCGACTTCCCCGTTAGCATCATCGGCGCTGCTCACACGTCTCTCGGTGAACCCCAGGAGGAAAGTCGAGTTAGTGACCCCGCAAGGGGACAGATAGCTCCATCTCGTGGGTTCAGCCTTTTGCTGAAGGTTATCTGCTTCAGGCTGGTGGACTATAAACTAGGTTAAACTTAGTAACACACATACTTAAGTAGAAAAAGCAAAGGCCGGACACTTAAAAAAAAAAAACCTGACATAAGAGGAAAACAAACATTTACAGCTTAACTAAAACTGTCCTTAAATAAATATTTAATTCCGGATATCAAACAGATCAGTAGAGTTTATAAGCAATTCTTCTGGTTAATAATTTCGTCCACATTCAGTTTATACCGATAACTGGTGTCCAGCGATATGGGCTAATAGCGAGCTAATAATTTAGTTCCTTCTCTCTGATGAAAAACGAGCTGCTTAAAGTATAAACTCGAGACGGATAACAAGACAGTTGAGAAAAAGGCTTCCAGGTTACGTCAAGTGTTCGATCCACGCCAATAACTTCCACAGTAAAATCTGCCTTGTTCCTCAGCTATGCTAAATATCAAATACCACATGAAAATGTGTTAATGTATGTTCACATTTATTCCGCCCATAAGAGTTTTGACTAAATGGCAGTTAAGAGCCTGCAGGATCAGCAGCTGAGGCAAGGTGAAGACGTGACTCCCACGTGATCGCTTACACCTGTCATTGTCCCCACTTGAATGCTGCCAAGTTCTCTAAAGATTTCACTAGACGAACGATGTCACTGATGAACATGAGGATAGAGAGTAACTATCACATATAACTTCTACCTAATTAACAGAGCTTTGTTCACAAACAGGAGAATGTTGCTTTCTACTAATTGAAACAGTTTAATGAGCTGAGACCCAAGAACCGATGAACAAAAATAAACCCTTCCGATCACTGATCTTAACGCTTCCGTGTCCATCATGGCAAAGTCGTGAATGTCGTTTCATACTTTACCATTTAAATTTTAAAAGTTAACTGAGAAGAAACTGATTTCCTATCAATATTCCCAGTCGGTGGCTGAAACAGTGCAAAGTCAACAGTGTTGTAAGGGAAGGAACTGAAAAACCTGTAAATTGATATTAAAATAACATTGAGAAGACATAGTCCCAACCAATAAAAATATCAACAGGACTTAGCACTACCTCAGAGTGGCAATTTCTAGGGATTTCCACAAACCAAGCTGGGTGACTGCATCCTGGTCAGTGGAGCGGGGCTTGCCAACAAGCCCGTCGGCACTGCAGGGTCCTGCAGCTCACGACAGTCACTCTCTCCTGACCCTCCTACAGTTCTGGAAGGCCCAAACCCTAGTCTGTAGGTTAAGGCGAACAAGATTCACACTTACCATTGCATGGGGGGCGGGGGGCGGGGGGGAAGAAAACACATGGAGATGTAAGACTCCGGAGGAAAAAAGCTTTAAAAATACTCTCCCTCCCACCCATGTGTTTGCTCTGTGAAGATTTTATCCAAGAACGTCTGAGTCAAAGCAAAGAACCTAAATATTGAGAGGCTCGAAATACAAGTCACGGTAAAAGCCACCCGAAAGAGGACAAAAATATAGAATGATCGACTGCGGAAGGCTGGAGGGCAAGTCCGTGTAAAACCGGGGGACCCCGCTGGTTCGGAAACCACGGGCAGCCTCTCCAAACCAAACAAAGACGCTGGAAACCAGGCCCCTTCGCGGACAGCTCCGAACCGGAGGGGAAAATGCATTTACCTTTATCGTCAAAACAGAACCACTCAGATTTTGTGACCCATCGGCGCCTCCGAAACCCAGGATTGAAATGTTCACTGACTCTTTAAGGAGCATTGACACCGACCAGGTGGTACAGGTACGTGACCGCCAGAGCGATGTCACCACAGCGAGGCGGAGTCTGTGAAAATCCAGTTCCACAAGCACTAGCGAAGGAAGGTTATGACTCTGGATAGGGATGGACTGTAATATTTAAATGGCGCGTTTCTCACAGGTTCACGGGATCTCGTGAACAGTATTAAAACTCAAAAAGGTAGAGAGACAGGAGTCAAATGCAGAGATGAAATGTACAAAACAAATGAGCAGGCAAACTAAAAGTTCTTGAAAGTATTTTACTTCAGATTGAAAAGTGAACAGCTTCCACACTGTTCACCGCAAGATACACAAATACAATGCTGGTTGTTTGAGGAAATGTACACACCTCAATTTCTCCGTCATGCTTTTTCTTTTAGAAAGATACTGTTTACCAAAAAGAAACATCAGCAGTACAGGAAAAACTATTTTCCCAATAAATTTACGAAAACCTAAGATTCCCAATGGAATCAAGATTTTTCTTCCCGCTACCACCACCTTAATATAATCACATGCTTAGTGGACACTAGTTACCCGCACCCTAAGAATACATTCACTTTCAACAAAATGAGGGTGGTTCTTTAAAAATAAAACAACAACAACAACAACTTCAGTGTGGTAAATGTAACACGGATCTCTGCAAGTATTAAGTGTCTGAGATATAGGCAGCTAATACTGGATTTAATTTTATTTTATAAATAATTGTTCCCTTAGCGGTAAACATAAATCTACACATTCACAATAGTCCTAGAAAATAAATACTGTGATTATGCACACGCTATGTTATGACAAACTGGTTTCAGAAAACAAAAGCTCAACCAACATCTTGATAAAAATTCAGATCAGAATAAAATGTGACTCTAAAATTGAAAACATTGTCAAAGTAACAGCACATTTAAAATCTTCCGCGGTTCACACAAGTATTATGAGTTTCCAGGTTCGGAACACATTTTCTGTTGTGAATTAAAATACGAACATATTGAAAATTATTAACTTCAGTGATGACATCGGTTTCCGTCTCACTTTTAGCATTATTTTCTTTATAAAAAGTTGCACTAAGTGTCCATTAATGGTCTGATTGGTCTTCTGTATTTCATAAATGTATATAAAAGAAATTCCTAAAAGCCAACAGTACTTTGTGTGTGTGTGTGTGTGTGCGTGTGTGTGTGCGTGTGTGTGTGTGTAAAAGAATCTCATCTCGGAAATGGCTGTAATTAACAGAGCCACACACACCGACGCTAAACAGAGAGCTTTCACCTCGAAAGCGAGCATTTTCAGAAATGTCACTTACATCCTATCATAGCAAATATTCCCAACCAAGTTTCAAACTCAACATGTGACGAATGACAGAAGTATACATCTCATTTGCACTCAAAGCTGACCACAACCAAAATTTACAGTATGATTGAAACAAGCCAATGTTTAAAAAAGTTTTAATTAAAGATAATTCCATGGGAGGAGGGGATAAAGAATGGGATGACAAGAAGTATTTGATCTTAATAAGGCAATACAAAATAGATCCATTATCAAAGACCATTTAATTTTGAAAGATCAACAATACCAAAAGCATAAAGTGGAGTATAAGAAAATAGTTTTTTATAAGTATGATTTAATTAAAGCTGTTTACAGTTATTCTCTCCCACAGTAGTTAAGCGTGAATTTTAAAAAAAGAATAAGAGATGGGAAAACAAGCAGGAGCCCACGCGGGGTTAGAGGAGGCAGCATGCAAAGGCTGTGGACTGCAGGTCTCACCGCAACAGGAATGCGACCAGACACGGCGGCCTTTTTTCCCTATTGGGGGGAAAAAAAAAAGGCCAGAAAAAAAAAAAAACAATGTAATTGCCCACTGCCCAAGACGACAGCACTAGAAAATGGTTGCAAGTTAATTTTTAGAGATGACTAGAGATTTTTCAGTGTTTGCACAAAAGTACATAGTACATATATATATATATATATATTTGTTTTTACAAAATAAAATAACCATCATTTGCCACCATCAACCTTTTCTTCGGAGAGGAACACATGTGCAGCAGCAGGTCACAAGGGTCCTATCACGCATTTCGATGCGGAGGAAAGCAAAATGAGGAACAGAACTAATCACTTCCCTACGTGTGGATGTTAAGATGACAATTCAGATTATTTTGCAAACTAATCCTGAGAAAAATCTGTTTACAATTTAAACAGTAATGTTATGTAAAAAGTATTAACAAATCCACTATTACAAATATCGATTTCCTATATGGTCATCTATATATACACACAATAAAATGGTAAATATATGCAAAAATATTTTAAAAAAACAAAAAAAACATGCACAGATCACTTCCCCCTTTGGAATCGGACTTCTGACGAGATGCCTGTTCTCCTTCCCGCCCCGATCCCGGGCAGTTCCCGCCTATTCCCCACCCGCACCGAACACCACGCCCTCTAACTCTGCATAAAGCCAATGGAAATATATTTATTTTACATTCAAGCTTTAAATCTTAAAATGACCCTGTTGTAGCATAGACTCATCAGACGAGCAGCCTTCCCCCCCCCTCCTGCTTTTTGTGTTTTGCAGTTGTCAGTCTTCATGATCCATTCCGTGGCGAGCTGGGAAAAAAACGCAGTTGCGAAAGCACGTGAGAACAGTGTAAAGGCTCCGGGGTGTGTCCGGGAGTCCCCAGGCCACCGTCCCGGGCGCGAGGTCGCCGCCCTCAGAAGACAGTCCGCCGCGCGCCCCCAACTATCTGCACAGGTCTGAGAGGGGGGCGTCCCGCCTGTGCCTCCGCTTTTTGCCGTGGTAATACTGGCTGTTGGGTTTGCCTTGATGCTGTTTGTTTGCCATCAGGGCGCCGTGGCCCGCTGGGGCTGTACCTTGGAAGCCTTTGCTGGAGGAGCGGAACAGCCTCGCCGACCCGTGCTGCGGGAAGGAAGCGGGCGAGAAGGCGTCAGCATCGTGGCCCCGGCCCGGCCCGCTGCGACCCAACCGGGGGCTCCTGAACCGGGGGGCTCCTGAAACGGGGGGTGCGCTGACTCTCTGGCGGGCCAGGGACGATGCCACGGGGTGAACGCTCAAACCTTTGCAGTGTTTTTTAGGGGGAATCTGGAGACACACGCAGCACCGCCCTGCCTTCTCAGCAGTGTATATGGGATGTGAACCTTGGCGTGAGAAACCGAGCAGCCAATGTACCACATGACAAATGGCATTACTGAGAAGCTCGGAGACACGCAGGTGTGCTGCCAGCTCAGGGGTCCCATGGGCGGCCGCCCCTTTCCTGCTATCACCTGTCACTTCAATTGCCACGGCTGAGCTAGTCTGTGTTTGGGACATAGGACTAAGGCTGTACAGGTAAGGTGGATTCTAGGCGTCAACTTGGATCTGAGGTGACGGACATATAGTCACCTTCTACTGCCAAGGGCCTCCCCCAGCGTCTCCACTCTGCTGGGGGACGGTGAGGCGGCCTGAGGCCGGAGCCTGGCATGACCCGGCTTCGTCCCCTCATTTTGAGTCATTACTCACAATGAATAAAATTTCACACAACTGGAAAACTTAAACTAGAGTGAAATCTGTGGCCTTTTTAAGTCAAAGCTGATGCTGATCAACTGACCACGGCTGACCACTGCCCGATGCCAGCACAGGCAACTGAGTCCTGAACGTTAAAACATAAGAGGATGTAAAATATATTCCCAGATCGGGGCAACATGCCACGAAGTCAGGCAAAAGCTCCATCGGGTTTACTTCAATCTAACCGAAACTTCTTATACCTTGATGCAAATTTTTATGCCACATCTGTGATAAAACAGACAGGCCAGGCCACCTTAAAAGGACAGGCCGCTGGATTCCCACAAAGGCCCGTGTCACGAAGGGCCCTGAAGGATGCCTTCGTCCTAGAACTGTTGTGGTTTGGGACCTCT